ACAATAGATTTTGGTATCCGACTATAGACTCTCGAGTTGAGACGCTTGTTTGTATAGAAGAGATCGGGTCAGTCGATAGTCTTGGTAGAGATACTTCCTCTGTGGATGGTGTATCGCTGGACGAAGAGAAATAATTTGTCAGTAGTCGCTGTGTATAGACCGGCACCGAGGATGAACTTTGACTTTGAAGTGCTTCTCTAGAAACTAGCTTCTGTCTAGATCGTCGAGATTTAGATACTTTCGGCATGACAACTTTGTCTTAACCCTAAGAAAAACAGATATCAAAGATAGGGTAGACAAAAAATAAAAGAGAGTTAAGAGACCAGGACTTAGCGTCAAGACTATATATTATCGCTAGAAACACTCTAAAAATAGGGGTAAGAAATCCCTGGTCATAGGGTAAATTAACCCGATATGTTAAAATTAATAGATATCGACTGATGACTATTCTTCTTTTCTCTAGTTAATCTTCGTTATTTTAGAAAGAAGTCTATCTAAATCTCAATATCTTCCATATATCTTTCTATTATAAGCGTACCTTGAAGTAGACACTCTCGAGACAATAGTTATGGAGAGCACGCACCAAAAAGACTTGATCCAAGAATTTTTCTTCTCCTTATACTTAGAGTCTTTTAATTTGGGCATACCTTAAGACTAAAATACCTTACCTTGGATTGCGTTATTACTATATCTATTTTATAATACCGTTTTTACCACTGTTGAAGAAGACAGTATAACACTAAACCGATCATGATTTCGTCATATAGTTCATGACCAAATATACATTCTTTAAGTAAAGACACAGTAGAGATAAATAGATTGTCTACTAGCTAAGATTCTTTTCTAGATATAACCGATCATCTCAGAAGCCTTTACTAGCTGATCGAGATCTCGATAACCATGGTCTTCCGATGGTGTAATGCCGGTCTTGATTCTGGTCTGTGTGTTGCCTTTAATGCTGTCAAGCTTGACTGCTTTCGATAAAGAGTTCCGCTCGCGCTCAGGATGGTCGACTCTTGTCGTGTCGGGCACGGTCTTTGATACTGTGAGGCTGGACACAGAGAGACATCGAGAATCGGGACGTCCAATCTCGGCTCGAGATGTCGTGACAGACGGCGTGGTGGTAACTGCTGAGGGCGGAGAATATCTTTTACGCTTGCGACGATCGGCTCTTGTCCTATCGGGTTCGTTCTCGAGCGACGTGAGGGTGGATATCGAGGGCTGCTGAGCAGGGTAGTGTTCGTGCTCGGTTGCAATGTCGGACGCCCGAGGTGGAGAGCGCTGTTTACGCTTGGAATGGCCGACCTTGGTTGTATTAGGTCCGTTATTCGACGACATGAGACCACGCGTGGCGACATGTCGAGAATCGTGGTGTGCAGTCTCCGCTTCAGGTGTTAAGTTCGATCGATATTTGTTGAGTTTCCCTTTGGACCTCGTAGTCTCAGAGAATACAGTATTCACAGGAGAAGACGTATTCTCACGAGATCTCGGAATGCCGGTGTCATGGCTAGATGTACGATCTGAATTTTCGTTCTGTCGTGAGATGTTCTGATTCACAGTCGCAGTGTCGACGGTGGTGGGTGAGGGCGGGCGAGACACATCGTTAGACATTCGTTCCACGAAATCCTCAATCATGTTGAAGAGTGGCGATAGATTGTCAGCCCTGTTCACCGAAGAAGAGATATTTTGCTCCGATATTTGGTTTGGGCTCTCGAGCACTATTGTGTCCGTTGGTGACGAGTAGACGGTATCGGGCCTTTTCCCTGCACGACCACGACCGCGACTGCCGCCACGGCCACGGCCACGCCCATATCTGCGATCACGCCCATATCCACGTCCACGACCGCGTGTAGAGTTACCACGCTCATGGTCATCGGTTTTGGAGGTAGTGTCTTTCATATTATCGCGTGTCGAGGTACTCTGTCTCTTGTTATCATCATCTTCCAAGGGTGCGGCTACGTCGCCCGGCACATGAGTCTGTTCGTCTAAGGGTATGTCGGTATGGCGCGAGATTGAGTGTTCGTACGATAGACTCTCATTATTGACTTCCCGCTCTCTTGCGAGGGAGGGTCTTGGGCGTATCGGAGAACGATTTGAAGTGTGGGAGGGCATAAGATGCTCGACAGAAGGCTCGGGGGTTACAGTCGGTAATGTTGTCGGGACGGTCAGAGGGCATTCGAGGCGAAGAGGGGTTCCATAAAGAACTATAACCCAAAAAATGAGTCTGTCGAAAGAGTATACCGGTCTTATGACACTGACCTTCGAACACAATGGCTTGGATCGCGGCACCACTCGGTTCGTATTCTAGACCTTGTCGCAAGACATGGCGTAGAGTGTCTTCGAGCGACAATGGAAACTATTTTCCGGTTAGAGAGTACGGCATGTCAAGTAAGAAGATCTTACCATGCGCCGTGACATCGTGAGAGATACAGGAGATTCAATCCGTGGTCCGGTGGTCGTGGTTGTGGTCCGTCCGTAGATAAAGATGGAATAATGTTGAAGAATTGAGAGGATTTCAAAGTAGGAAGGTAACGCGGGGTAACAGGGTTTACCGTAAACTACACATTTTGAGATGATGGAAATTCAATCACACAAAGTCTTCTCAATATCTTACTATTGTAATACTCAGGTTGGTTACTTTCTATAGTAAGTGATGGCGAAAAGTCAACACCAAGATATAATTACGGTTTTGATATATATCGAACGGTATATATTTTCTATCTGTATCTGCGTACGGCGTTTTCTATATACCGTCTATATACAGAGAAGTAGATATCTTATAGTCGGTCTACCGAGCTTATTATATATACTAACCCAAAACTTACCTACATCGAAAGGTTTTCTCGGGGTTATATGTCGTGTGTAACGCTCGTGAAGCGCGAAAAGTAAGGAGAAAAGAACGAATCTAACTCTAGGCGTTTCCAACCCCTTAGCCTCCTGAGATCACTCTTAGCCTGTACCTCCCCTGGAATCCATGTAATAATAAACAAGGGAGCTTGTCAGCGTTTGACACTTTATCTCTCGAGACTTGGTCTGCCGCCCACCAAGCTACTACACGGTCACTGTGTCAATATGGAGTCCATACCTGACTCTCTTCGCCAAGTATATTTGCCTCGACACGTCGGTGTAAATTACACTAATATGTCCACCGAATGTAGGAAATATGTCGAGTCTGCAGGATCCTCGCCGATCAGAAAGACGGTCGAGTAACGCTGACTCGCGTTGTCTTGGAGGGTAAGTAGACTGTATTTATCATCGGGTACCAGGGTATACTAAAGATTGCTCCTCAGAAATCTACGGCTCTGATTCCAATGTTTCCATCACCGCAAACCGATCTTCACCAGATGCGGTCGAGGAACGCGAGACGGTGTCTTCTCCTCACTATATACCCCTCGAGAACGAGAGAGAGGCAAGAGACTGTCGAGTCACCACCGGCGAGAGACAGAAGGATACACAAGAGAAGGTACTTGAACGCAATCAAGTTGCACGTTCGGACTATATTCAGTACCGCGAGGAGGTGCCGCTGAAGATACGTAAGGTCGACGGGACGATCTACACATCCGGTCGTCTTCACTCTCGCGCCGAGAGTGTCGAACTTCCTAAGCAAATGCAGAAGAATAGATTTTGCCGGCCTACCGGGTTGACTCGATCGACTCGTCGCCGTAAGGAACAGAAATAGGGAGAGTATAATCTTGATGTCTAGGTCGACGGACAGTATAATTAGTGACGGCTTTTTCGGTTTGATATATATCTTCAGTTCAACAATCGTCACTTCAACAATCGTCACTTCAGCAATCGTCGCTCTCTTCAACCCCTTCCCGTCCCAACTGAACCATTTTCCGAGTCTGCTCAACACCCTCGTTACAGTGGTCGATATTCACCACGGTGAGCCTACCGCCAAATCTTTCTTCATATAGTCCATGCTAAAATCAAGTAGTGTGTAGCGTTGAATTTCGTCATAGAGTCCATGCTAAAATCCAGTAGTTCGTAGCGTTGAATTTCGTCATGTAGTCAATGCCAAAATCAATATGTTTTCTTACACATGGTGATATGGGTAGATAATGTCTGTCCATCCATCGTGGTATTTAAGGAAGTGTCTCCAAAACACATACCAATATCGTCTCTTGAGTGCTGATCGTGTGGAATAATATGTTTACAAGGTAAACTGTAGGATGCGGAGAATTTGATTCGATCGCTGGGAGATGGTTACTATCCGAGTGTACGTAAAGCCGCCTGAATCGACCCGACCTCAATCTAATAGCCTCGATATGCTTCCGTGTCTCTAACTCTACAGAATAAAGTTGCCTGCCTGATTTCTCGCTCTTTGGCGTCGCCGAGCCAGGTCACCCCAAGTCATGATCACATCGTCTGTTGTATCACCATCGGCATCATCATCGGCCATCCTACCGAAGAAAGCTGTCGGCCTGGCTTCGCGCCCTTCAGCATTGCCGAGCCGGGTCGGCCTAAGTCATGGTCACATCGTCTGTTGCATCACCATCGGCATCACCATCGGCATCACCATCGGCATCATCACCGGGTTCATTCTCAGCTGTGGCGGCGTCCTCCAATATCTCAAGCATGGAACAGTCACGAAGCCTCCTCACACGAGATCTCTTCAATGTCGACTTGACCGTTTCGCCACGACGGATAGGTTCGAGTACACCTTCATCCAGCAACTGGCAGATGGTGGCCATGGGTTCCGTTCCCATGACTTCGGACAAGGTCGCCACGACGGCTGCCACCTTGGTGATTCCGATCTTTCCCTAACTGTGGCGGCGTTAGATGATATATACGTAAACATAAGAGGGTCCGCATCAAACTCACAAGAATCGAAAGTTGGGAGGCATCAGCAGGATCATTCCATTGTCCCATGGTTCGCAAAAGGTGGACACAATCTGCGCCTCTTGTAGCTTGTTGCTAATGGCATGATGGCTTTGGAGCCCCAAAGTCGTGCTGATGAACTCTCTGACCAGGCTCTTCCAGCCCCGACCAGGCTCTTCCAGCCCCGACCCCGGGAGGTCTTCAGACCCGCATTCTCCAGCATTCGTCTCGCCTTGGTGTTGCGTCCTTTGTCGAGGGTCGTGATTAGGTTGTTATACAGTGTCAGTATGTCTAGGAGGGCGACATTGCCTAGGATTGCACGATGAAAGCTGTTGGTCTTGACATCAGCAGCCTCGGCTTTGGCCCATGCAGCGAACAACGCGCGAAGGACCCGAGGCATTTTGGCGTCGTTGGCAGCCTGGATGGCGCGCTCGACCACATTGGGGTCACCACCACCACTCGGGTGGCTGACGTGTTCGATGAGCTGGGCTAGTCGCACAAGAGCCGGCTGGCCGAACATGTCGGTGAAGATGTAGTTTGCGATCTGTTGACACTCCCGTATGTCTATCTTCGCCGCGGCGAGACCTTTGCGGCTGATGACATCGCCGTTCGAGTTGACGAGACGGCGGCCCTTGGAGATCCTGATAGCTTGAAGTTTTTGAACGAACCGGTCGCGTAGATCATTCATTGCGGCGAAGGACAGGTCGGGGGAGAGTGTAACCGTGATGGCTTGAAGGGCGATCTCGGACTCCTCGTCGTCATTATAGCCATCTTTGCCAGAGCCGGTCTTGCGTTTGCCGAGAGCAATCACGTCCTCGTCATCATCTTCGTCCTTCGCAGCTCCTTCATCGTCGGCGCCGAAGTTACTGTCGTCATCGGAAGTCATGCCTTGCTCGAGGGCAATGTCGTGGCGGTCGGCGGTGACCTGCAGCCAGCGCGAGAAGGCGGTGAGAAAGTCTTCCTTTTCCTCGTAGGTCAAGTTAGGCTTGTTGAGTGTGGACGAGAGTGTCACCATCACCTAGGACGACAGGTCAGACTACTGGGTCAACATATTTGGTCGACAGAAGGACTTTACCTCTCCGATGGTATCCAGCTCCGGTTTCTTCAACGGCGTGCTGGGTGCGATGAAGGTCACACCCGCGGGAGTGTCGACCATCTTGGCTCGAAGCAGGACGTGTAGAGGAAGAGAGAGATGAGGGGACTGAAGATGAATCAATGGGATTCGGATCTTTGGGTGGTAAGTGCGTGGTGTTCAGAATGAAGAAAGGTGCGAAGTCAGGTTGTTTTGTTTATTTTGTAATTTGGCGGGTGCTGATTTCGGCATGCGTCACATGACGAAAGATCTGTGCCAAGACCGCTCCTTCGCGGCGGACGCATTTGCGTATATTGGCGCGACCACCCGCCAAGACCAACACTGGGCGGTAAACCCGGTGATTTGGTGATATCTCTCATGACAAAATCACAACGTACAGATAACTTACCTATCGATCTACGCAGTGACACACATACCAACACACACAGACATTGAATCGATTGAGATACGGCCACTCCGGCCTTGGTTCGACGCCATGATACTTACTGCATCGCTCGGTGCGGTGTACTGGGTAGCACATCATCTTAAAGAGTAAGTTTAGTGTGCTGTCGACACTCTCAACATTCAAAAGATATTGATCTGAACCACAGGGCGACCGAACTCCAAATCGTCGATCAAGATATTGAGGATAATGAGGAGGCACTCCGAGATATCTGCGTCAAAGCCGACCTCTCCCTTGAACAACTGGAAAAGTACGGCCGTGAGGTGAAGAGACGAGGCT